CAGGGGACAGGGACTAATGGTGTTTGTTTTGTTGCTGTAGTGGGGATCCGTTGCAGAGGTGCCTCACCACTTAGCTACACAGCCCTTTTTATTTCATTTCTGAGACAGGGTCTGACCAAGTAGCCCAGGCTGGCCTTGAACTTGGAATTCTCCTGCCTCACCATCCAGTCACTGGTATTACAGGTGCGTGCCCCTGCACCCAGCTAGATGGTCAAGTATGTGTCAAATTGGCTGGGCCACAGTTCCAATTGTTTGAAAAGCTGATTGAATCAGACAGGGGCTGAGCTAAGGTTTCCCTGAAGAAGATGGCCACCTGCGGTCAGCTCTTCAGCTTGCCTTCCTGACTGAGCACCAGTGCTTCAAGGAAGCTCAGGGAAGGAATTTTCTGGGATGTACACACACAGCTGGGCCGCATTCCAGTTTCCCAGTATGGGACAGTGAATCACAGAGGTCTCCATGGTCTCGGGGTTTCCTTACAAACATGGGGTCCAGGAGAGGAGGCTGTTGGGTGGTGACATGGGAACCAGGGCACTGAAGGTGTTGGGTGGGGCAGTTCCCCGACCAGGCTGAGTCACCGGGCCTTTCACACCCCAACAGCTGGGTCTAGGGTGGTAGCTCTGCCGGGCACTTGCCCAGGCCTGACGGCCATGGCTGAGCTTCCCCCGAAGCTGTTCGGCTGTTGGGGACAGGGGAAGCATGGTGGGGCACTCCCTCCCTCCCTCAAGCCCCCTCCCCAGGGCCTGCTTCCCGGAGCTGGGTTCTTCCCCAGGACTGATGATTCACACCACTGGGGCCTTTTCACTTCTCCTTTGGGCTAAAAATACAGGGACCCAGGCATCCAGCTGGGCCAGGCTGCCCCACAGATTGCACAATGGCCCACATTGGTGTTCCGCTGACGCAGGGCCTGGGGACAGGCGGGGGCCTGGGTTGCTCCCCAATCAGGCATGTTGAGGTTAGGGCCTCAGCTCCTCCACTTCTTCTTTCCTGGGCTCAAGACCTTGCAGGCTGGGCTAATGTGGGAGATGCTGAGGGTCTCTGGGCTTGGCTGTGGTCCCTAGAAATGATGCCCTTCCCTTAGCACCAAGAAACCCAAGGTTTCTGGCTCTCTTCATAGACAAGAGTCCCAGTTAGGAGGTGGGGGCAGCCAAAGAGGACTGACTGTTAGAGACAGGGATACAGAAAACCACAGGGGCAGAGACTGAAATGGGGCAGAGAAGAGAGAGAGAGAGAGAGAGAGAGAGAGAGAGAGAGAGAGAGAAACAACACAGGAGACAGGAACAGCTGGAGAAAGAAACAGACACAAATCACCCCCAACTGACCAAACTCCAGGGAAGACTGAGAGGGAAGGGCCCAGCCAGGAGACCACACCCAGGCCACACCTACACCAGGCAGGGGTAGGGCCCTTGGAACAAAGGTCATCAAGAAGGCTCAGTTCAAAGTCCATACTAGTCCTGGGAGGGTAGGAGGAGAGCAGTAGAGGCGGGGTTGGGTCCTGTTGTTCTCCCTGCTGGCCTCTGCTGCCCCCTGCTGGCTCCAATCCGCAATGCTCAGGAAAGAAGGAGAAATGAGACACAACTCGTGCTTTTTGGCTTAGGCCAATCTTCATTCTTTGTCTGCCCCCCTTATCCCCCAATGCCAGCCCCGCTCCCTGCCATGCCATCTCAGAGGGTGCCCCCGGGGCCAGTAGGTGGTGCAGGCGTCTTGCCTGTGACCTTGTTGGCACAGTCCAGCAGGGCCGTATGAATGTCCTTGGCACAGGCAATCTGGGCTTTGATGACGGCCAGGTACTGCGGGTAGGGCAGGCTGTCAGGCTGCACGGCATCTGGCTTGGTGGCTGTGGGCACCAGGGTCGGAGAGTGCTTGGCACTGTCACAGCTCTGTGAAAGGCACTCATGCGCCAGGCGCTGTGGACAGGCAGGCAGGGGTGCAGCATCAGCCTCACTCTAGGTACACAGGGTCCCCCACCCCCTGGGGGCCAGCCTGGGGCAGCCTGCTAGATCTTTGGAGTCCTAAGGTCTTGGGAGTCAGAGCTGGGCCCTGCCAATCACTGGATGGGTGACCTGAAGCAAGCGACTGCTCTTCTCTGAGACTCAGTTTCCTCCTCTGGAAAATGGGTTTAAGGACTACCTCTTTTAACCTCATAGATAAGAACAGTAAGAACAGGTGTGTTGAGGCCCAGATCCTAGTGCATCATTTCTTTTCTTTTATGGAGGATTGAACCCAGGGGCACATCTACTGGGCTGCATCCCCAGCCTGTTTTTTATATTTTATTAGAGAAAGGGTCTCACTGAGTTGCTTAGGTCCTTGCTAAGTTGCTGAGGCTGGCTTTGAACTTCAGCCTCCAGAGCTGCTGGGATTACAAGTGTGCATCAGCACCCGGGCCCTAGTACATCATTTGAAGTACTAACTGATGATTGTCGGTTATTATGACTGTTACTGTCTTAACCCCAAGCTTAGCATCGGCAGTGGCTTCTCTGATGGCACCTGCCATGGATTTTCTCCTACTTGTTTGGTCACTCCTACCAGGTACTTCTCACTCTACTCAAGACTGGAGCAGCAGTCTCCAGACTCCTTCTCCTTCCACTCCCCATGATCCCTCGGCTGTCACCCCCACACACTGGGCTCCCACCTCTTCAATGACGGTGCCCACACCTCTGTCCTTAGCTTCTCTTGTATTCCTAGGCCCCTTCCCTCATATTCTCCCATCAAACTGTTGTTTCTCATGGGTCCCCATCTCAGATGATTCTACCATTCCTACCAGAGCCCTGGGCCCCATCCTGGAAAGTCCTCCCTTAACAGCCCATCTGTCCTGTAGCCTGACAAAACTTAGAAGCTCCCAAGTTCTTCCTCAAGAAGTGAGGAACCAGGGAACTGGGAATATGGGAACCAGGGCACTGAAGGTGTTGGGTTGGGCAGTTCATCAGCCCCACTCTGGTTGCATCCTTGGGCCTCACTAAACTGCAAGTTCTTTACTCAGCTTTTCTTACAAAGTCTTCTTTTGGCAGCCAGAGGCATATTATATTACTAAAAAGCAAACTGTTCCATGTTCTCCCTTACCTGAAATCCTCCATGGCTCCCCAGTGCCCTCAGCGTTATATTCAAAATTCCACTCCTACTACACCTGAGCCAGACTGAATCTCCTAATAATCTCCTGAAATTTAAAGCATAAGTTGTTCCTGGCTGGAACACAGTGTTACCCCAACCGCTTCTCAATTCTGCCTTGCCTTTAACACCTGGTCCAGAATGATAATACTATAGGAAACACTTGCCATATACCTAGTATGATGGGTATGTACTTTCCGTGCATGATCTTGCTGAGTTTTCTTTGAAACCCTATTTTCCAAGGGAGGAACCCAAGGCTCACAGGAAGTTGATTAGAGGCCTGCCTCTCACCTCCTGCACTCTCTGTTCTTTGTTCTGATCTCTCTCCAATGTGCTCTCCTCAGCAGCCTTCCCTGAACCACTCTCTCTCTACCCTCAACCCATGCTTCCACATCCCCTCAGCTGCCTTCCATCCTAGCCCTGACACCACTGCCTGTGCTCCATTTCACAGCCCCAACCACCGTGGCCTGGACTTCTCCCATCACAAACTTGACCACTGTGAGTTGTCCCTGTTTGGGGTTACACTTGTCACTGCACTAAACTGCAAGTTCTGTGAGAGTAAGGATCAGGGCAACAATGTGTCTCCAGCATCAGATGAAGCCCAGGTCTGTCCCAGAGGAGGTACCCAGTGAATGAGCCGACTGATGGTTCATGAAAATCCCAGGGACTGAGGTAAGAATGTGGGCACCCAGTGCCCAGAAGACCCCTTACCAGACACAGCTCCAGCTGGTCACAGAGTGCGTAGAACTCCTCCAGGCACTTGTCAAAACGCTGTATGGGTCCATCGCTGCTCTTTCTAGCATCCGGGAGAAAAGAGGGGAATGGATTTCCAATCTCTGAGGCACCAGGGTCTACACAACTAAGTGTTCATCAGGAAACCAGGGACAGGCCCAGGGGATCTGAAGCAGAGCTTGAAATTAGGAGGGTGGTGGGGGGAGGAATTTCTAAGGCTGGGGTGGAGAGAGGATATCCTGGGGAAAGAGGGCTGCACTTACTGTCCATTGTCAATGTTAGTGTTCTGAATCAAGTTCTGCGCTGCAACCTTCATCAAGGTCTAGTTTAAAAAGAAAGAAAAAGATGCGGGAGATAGAGAAACAGAGAGGATAATTTTGTTAGATCTACGCTCTTCCTTGAGATAACACCCAGCCTTAGTCCTCCTCTTCATTTGGCATCTCCCTCCTGACACTCCAGAATAATGCTGATTTCCATACCTATATCAGACACTGGTATTTTCCCGGAAGCCTGCCCTCGCCTGGGGTTTCACCAACAATCTCCATTATCCACCAATCACGGGCAGAAGCTACGAATAGACACTCCTTTCCACAGGCTTTAACGACCAGAGGCGGGCTTTCCCCTTACACCCCTTCCCACTCAAGTTCTGGCCAATCCCAGCCTCAACATCTACATTGATCCCGCCCCACAATGTCACTCCACAGAGCTTCGCTTTGGCATCACAAAAAAAATGAACGTCTTTCTCCTCTTCCCTACTACGATCTCTCCACAACTAAACCACCCCTCACACGCCCTCTTGGAATCAGACTGCCAAATCCTGCATTCTCCTCACAGCTCCCGATCAATCACCTGTAGACTCTCCTTCAGCTGCGGGATGAGCATCTTATAGCGCTGCACAGGATCGAAGTCCTGTTGTTGTTGCTGCAGGAGACCGCTTTGGGCAGGTCCCACCAGTTGTGCTGGCGGTTGCGGCTGCTGCTGGGAACCCGGACCACCAGTCGAACCCGGAGCCGATACACCACCAGCTGAGGAAGCCACTGAAGCCTGCTGCTGGGGCGCAGCCATCTTCCTTGCTTAGAGCGCCGGAAGTGCGTCACAAGTGCTGCTCCCGTGTTTCAGTGTCTCCATCCGTAGGCCCCGTTTACTAGTTAGCTCCGCCTTCAGACAGTTTAACCAATGAAAGGAGAGGAGATGCCCCCACCTTCCATCAGTCTCAAATCCGACGTCCAGACTTGGATTTCTTTTCGCCAATCACAAGACGTTTTCCCTCCATGGCTCCACCCTTTACCCAGAAGCTCTCCAATCCGTGCGTGTTTCTCATCCGGACTCTATTTCCCGGAAGGCTTTGCGGCCTGAGGCGACCTGTCGGGTCCTTAGCGTCTTGGCGGCAGTTGGTGGAGCCGGAGCTGTGAGTCCGTCTGTGGCGCTGCCTGAGCGTTCTCCTGAGTCTTGCCCAAAGCTCTTCCCTCCAGCCTCTCACCCTAACCCTCCCCCTCAGAGAACGGCGTCATCCTGAGTCCTGCCTCAGGTCAGGCGTCCACGGAGGTCGGCACGCCCCTCCGCGTCTGCCCGCGGCGCAGCAAGGACCCCGTCCGGGCCGCCGTCGCCTCGTCGCTATGGCGCCCACCATCCAGACCCAGGCCCAGCGGGAGGATGGCCACAGGTAGGCGCCACGCTACCTGGCTCTACCCCTCTCCTCTACGTCTCCCAGGGCTTCAGCAAGGCGGGGGTCGGGTGAGGGTATCTGCCCACGTCGTCATTGCCCCCCCAGGGCTGCCCGCGAGGTCACGGAGTGCTTACCTTTGACCGAGGGGGCGGGCTCCTCCTGGGACTCGGGTGTTACCCCTTCCTCTCCTGCCCCCGAATTAAGGAATTACTCCCCTGGAGGCGCTCCGGCAGATTGAGCGCTTAGATCACTCCAGTCAAGCGTTTGGAAACCATTCTTCCCAAAACGATTGAGTACGTGGTTTTTTATTAAAACACTGGATTGAAAGCTTTTGGGGACACTCCGCGAAACGGAATCGAATGCTTGCCCCCACCCCAAAATGGGTGCACCTTTTAGAAGCTTGGAGAAACCCCTTTCACTCCTCCGTTCTATCAGTCTCTCTTTTCTCCACCAGGCCCAATTCCCACCGGACTCTGCCTGAGAGGTGAGCCCCACTGTGATTTCCTCGGAGAAGTGGGCGTGGGAGCTGGGAGCAAAAGTGGGGCAGCATGGGCCAAATTTTGAGTTCTTGTTTTCCTAGATCTGGAGTGGTCTGCCGAGTCAAGTATTGCAATAGTCTCCCTGACATCCCCTTCGACCCCAAGTTCATCACATACCCTTTTGACCAGAACAGGTGAGATTAAGATCAGGGATGGGGAAACTACTCAGAAACGAGGAGCCTAAGGTTGCTTAGGCTCTTTACTTCTTTCTCTGGGTCTACTCGGTACCTACCCAGCCAGAGTAGCAGGTGCTCAGTAAATACTCATGGATGGAGCAAGTAGCATCTGAGATTCTCCCCAGAGCTTAGCTTCTGGGAAGCAGGGAGGAGAGGAATAAAGCTGGAATCAGAAATCCACAGTGGACATGTTTCCTTACCCAGGTTTGTCCAGTATAAAGCGACCTCCTTAGAGAAACAGCACAAACATGACCTCCTGACTGAGCCAGATCTGGGAGTCACCATTGACCTCATCAACCCCGACACCTACCGCATTGATCCAAATGGTTCGTGGGAAGACAGGGTTGGTCTACTCTAGACCATAAGAGGCCAGGCCTGGGCCTCCTTCATGGTGGTCCTGCCTCTTCCCTCTCTAGTTCTCCTGGATCCAGCTGATGAGAAGCTTTTAGAAGAGGAGATTCAGGCTCCCACCAGCTCTAAGAGGTGAGCAGGTGCCAACTAGGTACTGGGTCTGGCTGGGAGAGGCTCTGCAAACAGAGGAAGTCCTGCATGGGGTTCTAAAGTACCTCATCTTCTACCCCAGATCCCAGCAACATGCAAAAGTAGTGCCATGGATGCGGAAGACAGAATACATTTCCACTGAGTTCAACCGTTATGGCATCTCTAATGAGAAACCTGAGGTCAAGTAAGTTGAGATGGGAAGGATGGGGGAATGTGGAGATTTCTCGCTAAGTCCAGTGGTCCCTAAAGTTTATTGTCTTCACTCCTAGGATTGGGGTTTCTGTGAAGCAGCAGTTCACTGAGGAAGAAATATATAAAGATAGGGATAGCCAGATCACGGCCATCGAGAAGACTTTTGAGGATGCCCAGAAATCAGTAATTGAAGGACTAGGGTGGGGAGAAGCAGAAGTGTGACTTGAGCACTTCCCCTCACTCTGTTTTTGCTCCCACTAGATCTCCCAGCATTACAGCAAGCCTCGAGTGACACCAGTGGAGGTCATGCCTGTATTCCCAGACTTTAAGGTCAGGCCTAGGGCAAGAGGTCGAGGGATGGTCTCTCATGTCTGTCTGTACCAGACTAACCCAGTGCCCTCCATTCCCCCAGATGTGGATCAACCCATGTGCTCAGGTAATCTTTGACTCAGATCCAGCTCCCAAGGACACAAGTGGTGCAGCTGCATTGGAGATGATGTCTCAGGCCATGATCAGGTCAGTGGTTCTGCTGTTTACCTTCACCTGCTTCTCCTTGTCTCTCTGCCTCACTCTTTAACATCCCTCTTCTCCCAACTAGGGGCATGATGGATGAGGAAGGGAACCAGTTTGTGGCCTATTTCCTGCCTGTGGAAGAGACACTGAAGAAACGAAAACGGGACCAGGAGGAGGAGATGGACTATGCACCAGATGATGTGTGCGTGGGTTGGAGATAGGTTTTAGGAATTGAGAAGTATGTCTCCTTTTCTCCTTGTCAGGGATGAAAATGGGGCTGACTCTGTCCTGTCATTCTCAGGTATGACTACAAGATTGCTCGGGAGTACAACTGGAATGTGAAGAACAAGGCTAGCAAGGGCTACGAGGAAAACTACTTCTTCATCTTTCGAGAGGGTGATGGAGTTTACTACAATGAGTTGGAGACCAGGTACTCAGCACACTCCCAATTAGCCTGGTTCTGTGCTTTTCAAGACACTGAGGCATACAAGAACCATCCTGGAGGTCATTTGTGCCTTTGGATTTATGCATTGTAAACAAAAGCAGCAGGAATCTGCTCACCTACATGGGCTGGACCTGGCTCTAATACAAGAAGTCAGAAAGAAAATGTTCAGGTAATGCAGGAAACCTTTAGAGCTTTTGTGGATGGTGGACAGCCAACTTTCCTGATACACTGTTATTAATATAAAACTTCATGTGAAAGTACATAGCCATGGTATAAGGAATATATAACATTGGCATATGTATTTTAAGTGTAACACTTGATAACCATTTTTAAAAGGTGACCCCCAAACTCTTCACTAAGGGCTTAAGAGTTAACTGCTGTGTCAGGGCCCTAGGTTGGGAAAGCATGACCTGAATTTTTGTTTAAAGGAGGGATCAGAAATTCTGATCCAAAAGCCAGGCAGGAAATGTGAAAGACTGAACAGAGAGCGCTGGTGGGCTCAGGGTGACCTGGAACTCTTGGCAGCTTCTTTTTTTTTTTTTTTTTTTTAATTTTTATTGTTGGTTGTTCAAAACATTATCTTGGCAGCTTCTAAGGGACATCTGTCATCTTTTGTCACTCTGTTGGGGTAAGAAAGGTCTAGTAGGGCCCTAAATGCCTGTTTTTCTTTTTTTGGTACTTGTAAATGGACAGAAGGCCTTAATTTTATTTGTTTTTATGTGGTGTTGAGGATCAAACCCAGTGCCTCACATATGCTAGGCAAGCGCTCTGCCACTGTGCTACAACCCCATTACAAAATGCCTGTTTTTCAAAAGCCAGAAATCCATCTTCTTCTGGTTTTAATTCTGGGGTGCACTCTTAACACAGAGCCATGTCCCACCCTGCTTCTCCTAGTTTATAAGTATTGGTAAGTAATACACACACACACACACACGAATATACCACATGTACACATATCACAAGTAGTTTATCCTTCCCCTGGTGTGCTCTGGGCCAAGCACTGACTGGGAACTAAGTCAGACCCGACCCCTCAGGGGCCTTAAAACACATCTTCTATACTTGTGCAATTTGCCCACTGCAGGGTCCGCCTTAGTAAGCGCCGGGCCAAGGCTGGAGTTCAGTCAGGCACCAATGCCCTGCTCGTGGTCAAACACCGGGACATGAACGAGAAGGAATTAGAAGCCCAGGTAATAAACACCACTGGACCACAGCACCCTTAGGGAGGGCAGTGGTGGGTGAGAAGGATAGAAGAAGCCTGACAGAACACCCTTCTTCCCAATCCTGCCGCTTCTAGGAGGCACGGAAGGCCCAGCTGGAAAACCACGAACCAGAGGAGGAAGAGGAGGAGGAGATGGAGGCAGAAGAGAAAGAAGCTGGGGGCTCAGGTAAAGAGGAACAGGCCAGACCCTGGGAACCTCAAGAGGGCAGGAAATTGGGTCTCACCTCTTTCTGTTCCCTCACAGATGAGGAGAACGAGAAGGGCAGCAGCAGTGAGAAGGAGGGCAGCGAGGACGAGCGCTCAGGCAGTGAGAGTGAACGAGAGGAAGGTGACAGGGAGGAGGCAAGTGACAAGAGTGGAAGTGGTGAGGACGAGAGCAGTGAGGATGAAGCTCGGGCTGCTCGGGACAAAGAGGAGATCTTTGGTAGTGATGCGGATTCGGAGGATGATGTGGACTCTGATGATGAGGACAGAGGACGGGCCCGAGGTGGCAGTGACAATGATTCGGACAGTGGCAGTGACGGGGGTGGCCAGCGGAGCCGGAGCGCCAGCCCCTTCCCCAGTGGCAGTGAACACTCAGCCCAGGAAGATGGCAGTGAAGCTGCAGCTTCTGATTCCAGTGAGGCTGACAGCGATAGTGACTGAGCCCCAGACCGTTCAGAGGGGAAGCACAGACACATGCTCAGAGCAAGGCACTTTTCTAGTGGTCTATTTGTGAGCCCTTCACTTTATTTGTCACCGCCCCTCCCCCCACTCCAACCTTTGCTGTTAATAAAGTCAGCTTCTCTTGATGTATCTTCCCAGCGCCTCTGGTCTCATTTCAACCCCCGCCCACACACACCCATGCTCAAAGACCTCAGATTGAGGCACAGAAACAAGACCACTTGGTTTCCCATGAAATGGAACATAACAAAGGTCAGAATCTTTTTGTGTTTTTTTTTTTTTTTTTTTTCGAAAATAAGCCCAGACCATTAAACAAGTGAACTCCAACAAATAAGTCTTCTCCAACAGCGAGAAAAACTATACAGTTACTCAAAGCTGATTCTGCCAGTGGGGCTGGGGACAGAAGTAGGTAGGAAGGGTGAAATCATGGAAGGAGGCCTGGGGGCCAGGGGGTGGAGGGAAGCAGAAGGTCAGGGTCCTGCCCATCAGAGTGGGGCCGCCTGCGTCCTACACACTCTGCTGTCAGGTGGGGAGGGGGCAGCTCTCGCCTCCCTTTGTGTGTGGGAGGGTGTCCCTCACCACCTCCCAGTGCCAGGCAGGGTCAGCTCACCCTGACGGGGAGTGAACAAGACAGAACCAGCCAGGGAGAGGTGAGGGTCCCATGAGAGGGACACCCTACTGATTCCAAAACGAGGTGGCCCATCCATCCCACTTCCTGTGGCTAGTGGGAAGGGGGCTGGAGAAGCCCTGGGAGCTTGAGGGGAATGAGCAAAGGCACAGAAACATGGAGGGGCCGGGGTGGGGACTTGCATAGGTTGATGAGTGTGCAAGAGGTACATAAATAAACCTGACACCCCACCCAGCCCGGCACTGGGAGAGGAGGTGGGAACCTGGAAGCAGGTCCCCAGGGCCACTCTATCCCCTGGCTTCTTCCCCCTCCCTGGGCTCAGAGCGGAGGGAGGTGCACAGACCAGGAGGGTAGAGGCAAGAAGGTCTGGGGAATGGGCTGATAGTGCACAGGGAGGGTGGTGGTTTTCAACTTTTTTTTCTTTTTTTGGTTTTTTGTTTTTTTCCCAACATTTTGTATCTTTAATAACATACACAATGGTTACCAGCCATATTCATAACAAAAGTTATTCATAAAATGTATCTAAAAATAACATTTTTTTTCCTTTTCGGTGTGAAAAGCTTGAGAACGTCCCAGTGAGAGGGGTAAGTTTAGGGGGAAGAGGAGGTTGGAATAGGGGGACCCTGGCTTCCCCACAGTATGAACCCCCAAATCCCCTCCCTCCACCTGAGCCCCAGCACAAGCCCTCATCAGGAACAGGGACCAGAGGGTCTATGTGACTCCGGGGCTGGGATGCACCTCTGGATTATGATATAGTGTTCCACTTACATGAGGTCATGACATAATGGGGAATGGGAAAGGCTGAAAGAAAAGTGGGGTGCGGCGGGGAAAATAAACAAAAACCAAACAATCCCCTTTCCCGTATTCCTAACCCCCAAGTCTTTACCAACCAGACCTGGGCGTAAAGAAGGGTGTGTACTGTTGGGGGAAGGGGACGTTAAGGCAACAGACTTCCTGACCTCACCGCTGCCCTGGCTGCCCACCGTCAACCTCTGCATCAGAGAAGCCAGGGCTGGGGGAAAAAGGGAAGGGTGAGGGGGGCTGGAGGAGTGGGCTCTGCCCTCTCCACTCAAAGTTCAGGCTCCCCCACCACTATCTTGGCTCAAAGAGAGGCTTGGGGATTCTAAAAATGACAGGGAATGATCAGAGAGAAAAACCGTTAAGAACTATATAAATATGTATCTTAAATAGGCCTAAGAAATTAATTGTAGAGAACCTCTGATAAACAGGGCAAGAGGAGGTGAGAGGAATGTGGTTCCTGTCCTTAGGGAATGATGGGAATGGGGAAGGGCAGACAGTGGAGAGGGGAGGAAGAGCACTTCCTCTTCTCACTCCTTTTCTCCCCAGCTCCTCTCCAGTAACATCATGGGGAGGGGTTGTCAACCCTGCTCATTGGTCCCTCAATATCAAAGGTTTCTGAGCAGGCTCCACAAGGTAGCGGTCAGTTTGTCTGGGAGTCTGCTCCCTTGGGGAGGGACAGGTGATCAGCAGTCTGGAAGAGGCAGGGTTGGGACAGGCCCAGGTGGGGGATGTGGGAGGGAAGATGGGGCAGGCACTCTGACCAGTCCCTGCCCCTTTGATCCTGGCAGCCCCCTCTGACCCCTGGCCTCAGCAGAGATCCCTCAACGGGCCTGGGAGTGAGCAAGGCATGTGCCAATGTTAAACAAAAGTTAAAAGGGTGAGAGAGTAGAAAAATATTAGAATGTATAGCTGAGCCAGCCCACCCTCTTGCTGCCGCAGAGAAGCCCGTTGGGGGTTGGCCCCCGCCCGCCGCCCGGGGAGCCTATGGGTGCGCTGGGCTGTGGGTCCCGTCAGATGGTGGAGGTTTTGTCTGTCCCATCTGTGACAAGAAAGGAGGAAGGGAGGAAGATCAGGAGCAGGCAGGAGGCCCAAGGAAAGGCACTCAAGTAGCCTGTGATCCCAGGCAGGCCCTCCCTGGAGTCTGGCCTCCCCTTGGGACCCTTAGGATGACTCTGAGTTGCTCAGTTTCAGAGATGGAGACGCTGGGTAGGTGGGAGCTGGGTCAGGGAAAGAGGAAATGCTCACCACCCAAGGCGTGTTCTGTCATGCTCAGACACAGAGACTCCAGGGTGGGATTGATCTCCAGGTCAGGCCCAGGGACCGGGCAGTCTGGGAGGGAGAGAGGAGAACGGAGGTGGTGAGAACTGACTGGGTGGATACGAGAGCCAGGGCGACAAGAGACAGAAACAAGCTCCCAAAGCATGCATTCATATGGATGAAGGACATGACTGGGAGGAGGGAGGAAAGGGTGACAGGCCTAGGGTGGTCACAGAGTAGGCAGGAGACACAACAGTAAGGACAAAGACTTGGCAATGCAAAAAGCTGGACTTGCAGACAGAGGAAGTGACTGAAACTGAGGGAGCTTTCCTGGAGGCCCCACACAGGCTGTGACTAGTTTGGACATAGATGACACCATGCCTTGGTCAGTCTGGGCACCTGCCTTAGACACTGGGCAGACCCATGCTCCCTGACTGGTGACTTGTTCTCTGTATCTGGTGCAAAGGCTAAATTAAAACTCTTCCCTGTTCCCACTCGGACTTGCTCCTTTGGATAGGTGGGTGGGGCAAAAGACTTGCTCCTTTGGATAGGAGCAGGTGGGAAAAAATAGGACAGCAGCCATGGAGCTTGTCCTCAAACTGCTTCCCCAAAAGGTCCTCATATTATAGCATGTGGGCAGTAGCCAGGTCCCCGGGCAGACCTGACCCCACGCTACACTACTTAAAATCTTTTTTCTCAGCTCTTTGCTGCCACTGGGAGGAAGGCTGAGCTTCTGACCTGAATTCAGAGAGCTGGCTCCCATCTCCAGCCTCACTTTTCATCCCCAGCCATCTAAACCCTGAGCTCAGGTCCTAGCAGACTTGTCACACAGGCTGATACTGATGAATAAAAAGATGGGAATAATATTAGAGCTCTAATATTATTTCTAATAGAGTAGAGCCTAATATGCAGGTGGGAGAATTAAATTTCACAGTGCAGGAAAGCTTTCTGACAGAGCCTTGCACACAGCATACTAGGAAAAGTTCTTATTTTTTGCTCCTGTAGTTTATCCAACCACTCACTTAACATCATTTATAGATGGCTTCCATGTGCCAAGCCCTGTGCTAGAGTGAAACTATGGGGGTTCCCTGGCTCCACAGGTGGCAGTTTGTAGCATCTCATAAATTAATAATCCCCCTGTCATCCCAGCAGCTTGGGAGGCTGAGAAGGAGGATTGCAAGTTCAAAGCCAGCCTCTGCAAAAGTGAGGGACTAAGCAACTCAGTGAGACCCTGTCTCTAAATAAAATACAAAATAGGGCTGAGGATGTGGCTCAGTAGCCCCTGCCTGACTTCAATCCCTGGTACCTGCACCCCCGCCCAAAAAGAATCCTGATTAGTTGGATATGGTGGTGAATGCTTGTGATTAAAAAAAAAAATTCCTATTGATGCCACAGTTAGGTCACCTATAAATCTAAGATCTCTTCAGGGCATCATCTGTCTGCAGATGACCCACCAGTGCTCAGCAGTGGGCCAGCCAAGGTGGAAGAGCCAACTCCACCATGTTCAGCAAGGAAGGGACTGTGACTGTGTATTCCTGATCTTTCTCTTGCCCACTTGACCCTCCTCCTGACCTTGCATCTCCAGGTTGGCCTCTGAGCACAGGTAAAAGCCCTTCTACTTCAAATTCCCTTTATAGGTAGAACCTCATCTAAGAGGTGGGGCCTACTGGCTCTTTTGTGGTCACTGGCCTCTGAAAGAATGCAAGGGGCTGATTGGCTGATACAGGACTTCCTTCCACAGCAACCTCGCACTTTAACCTCTCATCCCTCAACCTCTTCTAAAATGAGTGTTTAATGATCCTATGAAGAGACAATAACCGTAAGATCATTGCACAAGACATGGAGGTAGAGTGTTGGTAAGTGGTAAGAAAAAAAGGTAGAGGTAGAGAAAGAGAGAAAGCAGGACTTCAGAGATAAAACTGAAACAGAGGGGGAAAAAAAAAAAACCTCTCTCACAACAGTGGAGGAGATGGGTACTGAGAGATGGGAAGTATGGAGAGAAATGCTCACGCAGTCGGGAAGGAATAAGGAATGTAAGATCCAGAGAAGAGAAAGGCCAGGCGAGGTGGTTGGCAAGGTATAGTCCCAAAGGTGGGGTACCTCACCTGGAGGGAACATGAGAATGGCCTGGGGTGACGAGTGGACTGGGAGCGAGTGGGTTCGCTGCACGGAGCTGCGGCTCTGACTGGGCATGCTGTTGCTGCCTCCAGGATTGGCAAACCACAGGTTCTGCATAGGACATGGGAGGATAACAGAGAGGGTGAGTGAGGAAAAGGCCCAGGAGTGAGCTGACAAAAAAGGACCCTCCCCTTTAGTGGGGCCCAGGTGCAGAGTCAGAATATCCCAGACACCACCACTCCAACCCCAGTAGTACCAGGGCTTCCACTTCCTGCAGGCTCACCTGTCGGCCCTGGCCCCCGAGGCTGGGGCTGGTGAGGGCATGTCG